CAGAGTAATGTGAAAATTTGTTGAGCGCTGCAAAATTTTTCAGCGCAATTGCTGAGCTCCAGTTTTCACCCTTATGATAAACATCTCAACATTTCAATAAGAAATCTTAAAAATAAAACACCGAAAATTAAGTATAAAACTATGTAAGATTTGATTTCTTCAAGTACAAAACTGTCACAAGTTCCTCTGTTTAATAGGTAACATAATATTCAGTGTCTCCCTTCATAGCAGTTCCACAGATACGAGTACGTGGCTGCTCTCTTGTTGACCAAATGTCTGTCCTCATCTTCCGTACTTTGGGTCGTCACCGAAAATGTATTTTACTTGAGTTTCCTGTTTCGATTTGTGTAAGAAGCACTGCCTGGTGTTGGCGAAAGGAGATTCTTTTGTGCACTATTTTGGACTGCGTTTCATGTCGTGAGGACTGAATCATGATAAATCACAGTAATCGATGTGCCAGTGCTTGTGCTTTTTTTTCTGTTTGCTTATTTTATTACTCTGTGCCGAGTGGTGAAGTTACGTAACGTCAGTAAGGCATATTACGATTATCATTATAGTGCAATTCATGATGTGGACGAGGTCTACAAGAACTAGAACATGCATTCCATAGAATCACTAAATATCGTATCAAAACTTTGTTAGGAAATTTTAATGCCGAAGTAGGTGGGGTAGACATGGAGACTATGGTTCTATATATCCACTCACCCATTCGTCTTTATGCAGTAGTTCTTAATTAGTTAGCACAGGAACGATATTTTTTTTCTTTTTTCTTCCTTGGCACTACAGCCCCAGTGGGCCTAGGCCTACCCCCATGAACTTCTCCGTTCACTTCGGTTTTTCTAGATCTTACACATTCGGTAGGACTCCTTGGGCGGGTGATCAGCTCGNGGAAACAGATCCGAACCCACGATACCGGTTTTCAAGCGAGCGAAGACAGTACATGCCTTAGACCGCTCGACTGCCGTGACCGGCCAGGAACAACTTTACCTTTCCTTATTGCTCAAGACGAAGTCGTGTGGCTGGATAGGCTACCGGTCGGTACGTCACAGTTACGAACTTTGTGAAGTGCGCGAACGGAAATAAAGTGATTAATAGTCTGAGAGCTGTAACAGTATCGTTTGGCTGACGGCTAAGCCATTATATCATTGCTGTAGCGTAAACAGAAACAGGGCAACACTTTACGACAGAATACAGCTGATGGGCGTCTCCAATTGTTACCCAGTTGTAAGGACGTATCCGGGTGCAGTAGGGAGCGGATAATTCGATGTAGCAGAACCCGACATACAAGAACCTAGCAACAGACGTCAGTGAACTCTTCCTGTGTGCTTCATGAAATACTCGCGGGAGTATTACAGAGGGATCTTAAATTTAGTCCTGTTGTTACTAGATGCCGACCGAGCGACCGCCGCTTGTCGGCGAAGTTAGTGCCAACTTTAGCGGATAGAGGGTGCCGCGTGATCAGCGCAGCGAATTCCCACGGCCTTTAATTTCGGTAGGTTGGTCGGTATAGTTAGGTTGCGGACTAAAACCACAGAGTTTGTTTTGTTTGTTACTAGATGCACCCGGATTTGATACAAGATAGTCACACACTTTTCTTGTTTTATATTGAGATGGGATATTAGTTGTATTTGTTACGTACTGCGGTCTCAGAGATAGAAAGGAGTTATGAAAAATGGAAAATTGGGAGAACTATAAAAAATTCGATGTTGTACCTCCTGGACGACAGCCCATAATTTCAGATTTCTGGTACTTTTTTTCCTCAGCATCTTTCCAGGATCTTCTGTCATTCTGTGTTGATCGCTATCGCAAATGCAAAGGACTTTGAACCTGCAGAATGACTGACACACAAATTATAATTAATATTGGCAAGTTTTGTTCTCAGTGTAGCTCCGGGGGGGGGAAAGCGGTCCCTTTCCTTCCTTCCTTCCTCGCTCTTTTATTTTACTCCCTTCTCTTACTGACTTTGTGATTTACATTGTTTTGCTTTTCTCCCCATTCTTTCTCCCCCATTCTCTTTTTTTTCTATTCTTTTTTCCACAATTCTTTTCTTCCTTTTATCTCGTTTTCTTTTATACGTATATGTCTGTCTTTTCTATTTCTTTTATCTTCCTCTCTAGCTGTCTTTCCTGCCAGTTATTTTACTCTCCTTATGCTCTTGTCTTTTTTTGTTTGCTTACTTGCTTGTTTCCTTCCCCTGTTTTAGCAACTCGGACAGTTCAGTGTCTTGATGTACGCAGTTTTCAGGCTTTGCAGTCGCGAATGGGAACTGGTGAAGAACAGCGGGTTTCGAAGATGTGATACGTAACTGTCGTGGCTGTTTCAGAGCTCTGACCAGTCCTTTGCCACAGAATTCTAATTAAAAGAAAATCCGTGTCCTTTAATCAGAATCTGTAGTCAGTCGTTAGGCTAATGAAAATAAGTGTGTTCTTCATAATATGCAAGTAGATAAGTTTCGGGTTCTAAAAGGGACATACTTAATAGCTACCGTTTTCATCGTTATAATAACCGCCGCCACCGCCCCCCCCACCAACAGCAACACCATCATGAATAATCACGAATTAGGTTTCAATTCATCGCCGTTTCAAAATTTGCTCAGATCTTCCCTATACTCGTTCTGCATGAGTTCTGAGGTTTCTACGAACGTAAGGATGTAGATCCTTGCCTTCTTTTTAGGACACCGTGTGGCTACCGACATCGAGACAAAGCTTGCAGACCCCGAGACCACACGACGTGAACACAAAAGTCAACTGCATGAAGCGTTTTTGATTTTTGGTTTTCCTAATTGATCGTTCTATTGCAAGCGAGATTTGAAATTCTCACTACGGCGCTGACTGGACAAGACTCCGTCTTTATGTGTAGATGACTTCTCTGCCATGAAGATGGAGGCAGCTGTTTCTTACGAAATGCTTTTACATACGTACACAAACAACTCTGTAACATAGTCCAGAAGACAATCTTTATTCCTCCACTGGGTTGTTTTTTTATTGCTAGTGGGGTGGGACTAAGTCCCTTGTACTGCGGCCACTTCTGGCCTATTGTACCAGCCCCAGATGATAGGTCAGGGTGATTGTGGAGCAATTGGTGGAATGAAGATTGGCAGGGGAAACCGAAGTACTCGGAGAAAACCTGCCCCAGCGCCACTTTGTCCACCACAAATCCCACTTGACCAGACCCGGGATCGTACCCTGGCCGCCGCGGTGGGAAGCCAGCGACTAACCGCTTGAGCTGTGGCGCGGCCTTCCACTGGGTTTTTACTCGAGCGCTTCTTTACGTATCCTTGTACTCGCTGTGTTGGTGAGTCCACAGGTTTAATATTCCCACAGAGAAGCAACTATTTCGGTAGGCGCGTAAGACTTCATCTTATAAAGTGACACCCCCCTGTAGTTTCTGGACTTACATCTGCTAAAGAAACGTGACAACCGTGAAAGAATTTCTCAGACTCCTTGTAGAGCTCTCAAGCCGAAATTAACAAATTTCCATGATCGAAGTGAAAAGCAAAACGTGAAATCGGTGCGGAATTGTGTAGCAGGGTTTGTCATTGCGAATGCCGTCAGTATATTTTAAGCTAAGGTTGTCCCTGCGCTAAACTAAGCACTGCACCATGAAGGCGTATGGGGAAGTGGATGTATATATCCACATCTTCTTGAACTCAACACTAGCTGGAAGAGAGTGGTCAGCTTCATGCCCCTGCCGCTTTACCCCCGGGGGCGAGATCCCCCGGTACACATTCGATAGGAGGTTGGGTGGACCCCAGAGCTCGTTACTTAAAGTGTGTGTAAGTTAAAGATTTACCACAAGGTCAATAAACGGATATGTTGAAAAATAAAAGAATTCAAATGTCAATTTTGATATTACACACTTATAATAGCCATTTCAAGAAATATTTACACCAGATCAAATTGTCTCAAATGCGTGACATTAAAACGCCGTGTTTGACTACTTTTATCGTCGTAATTTCCGATGATGAGTTACAGACTGTAATTAGCCATTATGTATTTTTTTATTGCTAGTGGGGTGGCACTAAGCCTTTATAAGGGCCGGATATGGGTGGCACTTGTGACAGCTGTTTTGCACGCTTACTCACGCGCTAAATCGCTGTCTGTCTCCGCTTACATGACCATTAAACCGGCTTTATTGATTATAATGTCATTGGTCCACTCGACACCCTACAAGTTCTGTGATGAACCGCGACCATTATGATGTGACTTAGAGCAAACACCATTCCTGTCGGGAAATTGAATTATTGAATAGTGTTGTTACAATTCCCGGAAGCAAACAACATTGCAGCTAATTATATGTGCATTTTGGCCTACCACTAGTAGTCCTGTGTCCAGAGGGAATATTACCTATATGCCTCTCCATTTAAAGTGTTGATTTGCACCTTTTGTGTATCCCACGGCCACATAGGGGTAAGTTTCCTTTGCAGAGGAAATACACCTCATCACAAAATATGGAGCAGATTTCTTCTTGATAATCTAACACAATATTACGTATATATTGACCGGTTTATTAATTCAACCATCTTTCCTTCTACGTGATTAACAATCGTAACTTAACTCCGTGGTGATGAGGGGTTCTTGAGAAGCCGCCCGGGTAAAGGTTATAGCAGTTGTGATAAAACGCTTCGTAGATTATGCGATATTAAATTTCTTCCAACGCAATAAAATCCTGAAGTTGCTTTGTAACTCCCTGGGTGACACACGATTTGTTAGATAGAGGCGTTAGGAAGGCCAAACACGAAGTTTCAAATAGCGTTCCAAATGTTAAAGCCTTTGGAATCAGGACTGGTTATTCTTTGGGTTAATGTAGTGGTTTATTTTCACGTGAATATGGTCACATTTCTACTTCTGTAGATTGTGCAACATGTGGATCGCCTTCGATTTATTACTGCCGTATATTGGAACCGAAAACATAGTTGTGACACAATACTGACTGTGCAATTTAAAGAATGGTGCATAAGTTTAAATGTTTACGAAAGCGAACGTATAATTTATTTTCAGGTCCGTTTGATGACGACTCTGCTACTACAGGGGAGGAGCACTCGTACAGCCTGTCAAGTCCTACCCCACCCTCTTCACTCTATCGCAGTACAGGCATAGAATGTCAGCAGATCTGCCACATAGCGAAGAAAATGAAGGTAAGTACTAATATATATTTATATACGAGTTATATGTTATTTAATGACATTTTCAATAGCTCAAGCTCTTATATTGTTGAACTGCAGGCGGATTTGAGGATTGAAGTTTGGGAAGGATCGAGGCCGAATTTGCTGGTAGGAACCGACGAAAACCACGAAGAGCCTCAAAATGGCCGCTCTCAATCCCGAAACTGTCTTGCGCGTACCAGTACTTCTATAAACACAGGAAACATTCACATGCGTTGGAGAGAAGTGGACGGCCCGGTAAGAATAAGTTTTAAACCAACAATCGGTGGAAGTCGGAAGACCTCGGGAGTGGCTTGCAAACCGTTGAAAACAGCGCTGAGCTCAGCAGGCTCTGTGGGTTATTCTATACGTAATAATCAGACAAGCTGTTCGCCTCAGTTGTGATGTAACATAGCGTGTGATGTCCATCAGCAAACAAGTGCTATATCTGTACTGCCGCCGTTAATACAGGGTGTTGCTGCACAGGTTTCCCACTAGACAGCTATATTCTACGGACCTCTCGGTTAAACTAATCTGTCAACAATATAATTTTCAGAGGAGAGAAAACCAACTTTGAAAATGGATTCTATGTGACACTGCAATGGAAGTAACGTTTGTTCGTATCCACTTCATAACGTTTCATCTGTCTGGGCAGCCATTGCGGTATTTCCGTCTCTTCTTGAGATTTCTTTCCGTCAGGACTCGCGTACTGACGAAGAGATCCTCTCCAAATTCTGAAATAGTCTCATAAGGTTGTGAGGTGTTGAGGTTCCCACATTTTCCAGACAATCGGCTCACAGATGGTGGCAAGGTTGTCAGCCTTACGCGCCGGCCGCCCTTTACCCCCCAAAAAGATTCCTGGTACTCATTTCTGTTAGAGGCTGAGTCGGCCCCAGGGCCATAGTACGGCTGGGAGGATTAGGTAAATTGAAAAATCCACCTCATCGGTACTGGAACCCGCGACCTTCCGGCTTGTAGCACAGTGCCTCAACAAACTACGCTACCGCGTGCCCCCACAATAGTATCGACATAGTCTAAATGTGTAGTGATACATTTGAATTAATATTGTTATTGCTTACACTGTTCTATTTATTATTATTATTCTATTTAATACAGTTTTTGCCATTAGTAATGTATCCCTGGAAGGAAAAATGCGCAGAGGAAGGAAAGTCTGAAGGAAAATGCGGAGGCATACGGAATGTTTCCACGCGGATCCGAAGTGCAGCGTAACATCAGCTACTCCTCATAACTTGTGTCAGATTATCGTCGCAAAATGGCTCGCGTGCCCCTATCGGCTGCCTGTGACTGGAAGATCAGAAATTTGTGTCGAATTTTAACTGAAACTGGAAACCCTCGGGCCAAATTCTTCTGCAAAATTACGCAGTCTGCGTTTACTTTAAGTTGATAGGCATTATGGCCAGTATATATATATATTTATAAACTTTTGAAGAGAGCAATCAATTTTACCAGTACAAACTTACAAAAGTTGGTGTCCATGCAGGCGTGTGCAGTGCTGCTTTACATGTACATCGCTATCTTGTGATTCTGGTACGGATACTCTTAGTCCTGGGCCACGAGACAGTGGCCAATTCGGCATTCTGATACGCAAAGGAGTTGTATAGTCCTTTCACGTTGAAAATGGAGACATTCCGCTTTTACGAAGAATCAGCCTGTCACCGGCAAATTTGCCCCGAAGACAAAATTTCTGACCCGTATTCAGAAGGTGCCCGGTACGTATCTCGGCCAGGACACACTGTCCTCACTGTGTTGTCCCGTAGTTTCCACCTGCTCACGCTGGTTCATCGCTCGCGGATTACTCTGTCCTGAAGATGGAGGTGATACGTTCCTCCGAAACGTCGGTTCACACAAGATCTACACGGCAACACATCCCAAAAGACTGTATTCGTCACAGTCACCGGCGTGAAAACCTCAAATCTTGCACGAGACATTCCTTCTGTTTGCTTTTTAACGTAGTTTCTCATGAAACTGGCATAGAATTGCACTTCAGAAATGAAGTGTACGATTATAAACTGAGGGTGTATTTTCACTGCTGTAGCGGAGTGTTCACTGCCCGCGGTATGCACTGTGTTACGGAAAGGTAATTTAGTTTCAGGAAATGTACGTATTCTTCCGATCGCATTTGTTGGCCCCATCAGCAGAGAGCAGCGCGGTAAAAGAAGCATTTTCTCCCGGGCCTCGGCTTGTGTAGTGTGAGTACAAGGCGCGCCTGAATTGTGACACTGATGCTACTCGCTGTACTTCGCTGGTGAAGAAGATGCCGGGCAGCACGGCGTTGAGGAGTAAGGAATGCGACACTTAGGAAACGTTATCATGGCCTACACCACATTTTTAGGCATATAAAACAGTTAAGAGGCAAAACTATCCCTGTAACAGGCCGTGGAGGCCCACAGAGTTGTGAGACGTCGAGACTCCCACATTTTGTCTAGACAGTCCGCTCACAGATGGCGGTAAGGTTGTCAGGCTTACACGCCGGTCGCCCTTTACCCCCCAGGAAGATTTCATAATAATACAAAACATTGCTATAATTACATGTGATGTACGGATGTTAAACTTGGCCCATTAATATGAAGGATAGATACGTGGGAGAGGAAACTGTTTAACGTGTGGCCAGTTGCACCACTGAGCTCAGTGACACCAATAAGACCATTGAGGGTTGTTGTGCTGTGACGGATACAAACATTTGTTACTGTTAATGCTGGAGATGTTGCGTCATGTAATGAGAATGATCAGTGAAGAGTGGGTGGTAAGAAATGTTTCAAAAATGAGCCTGAAGGTAGGAGGAATATTGAGATGGCTGGAAGAGGAAGAGATGAAGGCAGAAAGCAGATGACAAAGAAAGAGGCATCTGTCGTAAGGGGACCAACGTTCTTAGAGGCTGGTAGACCCAAGGAGTAGTTAAGTAATAGCAAACTGGGTTTCCATTCCATCATATAAATTTTCCCATTAAATTAATGGAGAACGCGAAGAATCTCCCCCCCCCTCTCTGCTGTTATTTTGTAGTGCAGTGAACACATGAACATGGGGGCTCGCAATCAGTGATTCGAGTTTTTCACTTAAGCGAAGAGTCTTATCGTGGTCATGCGGGTTTTGACTCGGAGTAGTCTGGCAGCTGGTTACCGACATTTCGCAGAATATAATGTCTCCTTCTTCAGGGAAATCTAAAGATTGCAATATGATTACTCCTTACAAATGTTGCTATTATAATTGGGTTCCTTACATTCGTTTCTGTGAGAGGCTTGGTAGACCCCAGGCCCATAGTCCGGCTGGAAGTCAATTGAAAAATCCAATTACCTCATTGAGAATCGAACCCGCGACCTTCCGGCTCGTAGCATAGTCAACCATAGGATTCTAATGAAAGTGTGTTCTAAGCACTGCTCGTAACGCTATGTCTCACTTATCCTGTCATGTTGATATTGTAGCTACAGGAAGTGCGATTATGTTATGTTAAATTCCATCCTCAGTTAAGATTCTTTCTCCGCGGAAGCATGTTTTCCTAGCTGTTCCCTAACAACGGCTATAAAGTTTACAGTATCGTACATTTAAAATTCTTTGGATCGGTGAACCGTTACTGGAGTTAATTCTTCGTGGTTTATATCACTAGCTTCAAATTTGCCCCTCTTTTTTTTGAGTGGCTCGTGGCTATTTCCTCCGCAAATCCGCATCATTATGCAGTCCCTTTAGTTTATCTGACCCTAACTCGGGAATGCGCAGAATAATCCAATATCCGTCCGTAACGGGAGGAAAGGGTGGACGTGTTACAATGTCAGAAACAGTGCCACTGTGACCTCATTCAATCAGCCCCTGGCTACTGTCTCTACCCGCACTGTAGCACAGTTATAATCTGCTCTAACCGTTTATCTCTGTTTCTCCCGTGTTGTTGCCAGAGATCTGACGCAGTTGACGGAGCAGCAGAGCTAGCTTTTGCCCGATTGAACATAAATCAATGCGTTCAATGCTGGAAACAGTAATTAATTTCATGATCTTATAGAAGAATGTACACAGTGCTTTAGTAGCCGGGATACCGCAGTTGGTACAGCGACTGGATACGGGCTGGATGGACAAAGGGTCGCAGTTCGAGTCCGGTAAGGTCCAATTTTTCTCTTTCCCACGTCCAAACTGGCTCTGGGGCCCTCCCAGCTTCCTATCCAATGGATACCGGGGGGTTCTTTCCCCGGGGGTTAAACGGCCGGCTCGTGAAGCTGACCACTCACCTCCAACTAATGCTGAGGCCAAGAAAACGTGGGTCTATACATGCACTCCCCCATACGTCTTCATGGCATAAGTGCTTAATTAGTTAAACACAGGGACAAATTTGTCTTTTTTACACAGTACTTGAGAGTTTATACTCTTGAATATGTTGCTTCATTTTATATAATTCCCACTCCAGAACCCACATCTACAGAACAGAGACATGAACAAAATTAAAAAAAGTGAAAACGCAAAAACCCTTACAGAAGTACCACAGTTTCCACTCGAGTTCTCTGCGCGTGTGACTATTACGGATCTGATGTCAATCTGTATATGAAAGGATCTCTAGTAATATCAGATTTAATCTAAATCCGTGTAGTGGGTTTCGAGTTCCAGCACGCAAAGCAACGGGAGGAGATGCGGTCTCCCTGATATGCTTTCAGTGCGCGCTCGTCATGCAAGGAGCGGATAAAAAAAATGGACAGAATTAATGTGAAAATGAAGCACTGGAAATATCGGAGTAAGGTGAGGGAAGGCAAAGCAATTAAACCATAAATTATGCTATGAAAGGAGGAATTTAGAGGACTAAGAAATATCTTAAATTTTAAATGATGTCGCTGTTGGCCGATCACACTGGCTGTGCAGTGTAAGGTGTGAAGTGTCTTCGCCCCCTTGGAAACTGGAGTCTTCGGTTCCAATCCAAGTCGACGCATGGATATACTGTATGTTCTGCGTAAGGAGCACACTTGTGACGGATTAATTCACGGTGCAAGAATCGAACCAAC